TGTGTCAACTACAGACCTTATTTTGAGCTATTTTCCAAAATCCTATGGAGAAATTGCATTGCTTTTTTGTCGAGGAAACCGGAAGAAGCTTACTTCCGGCTTCTAGGACGCGTCACTGTGGCACTCTTACTAGTTTAGGTTGTTCCAGAGGTAGATAAAATAGCTAAGTGTGTTAGTTCCAACTTGAAGTGTATGTTTTGCTCCGCTCACCAGTCCGTCACAGCGGACAGAGCTGCAGGTCAGATCATAGAGCTGCAGGTGATCATAGAGCTGCATCATGTAGAGCTGCAGGTGATCATAGAGCTGCATCATGTAGAGCTGCAGGTGATCATGCAGAGCTGCGTGTCTCCGTCAGCAGCAGCTGATCTCTGATCTCTCTCTCTCCCGTCCGGTTATACTTCACTCGCGTTTTTGTCCATATCGATCAGATCTAGCTCTAGTTCTAGTTCTAGCTCTAGTTCTAGCTAATGATATGACTGCCTGCTTATCAAAGGACACCAAACAATAAGCGTTGCTTGGCAACGGGGTGTCGCGGCAAAGTATAGCGCACCATTATGCATTTGTTTACATGAGGGGTCAAAATGTCCCCTTCAGGAGGATAAATCTCTTTCTCCACATTAAATGTTAGACATTAGAATGTACCAGAGGTGGGAGTAAGTCCTACATGTGCAAGTCATGATCAAGTCTCAAGTCTTGACCTACAAGTATCAAGCAAGTCCCAAGTCACTGTGGTGAGAGTCAAGCAAGTCAAGTCATTGCTCAGGTCAAGCAAGTCAAGTCAAGTCATACGAAATTCTGATGAATAAGCCCAGTTTCCGCATTTAAATCAGTTAAAAGACAGTGGTTATGAAAATGGATTTAACCCACACTATGATCTTCATTACATACACAGTTAATCATTTGAAATCTAATTTAGACCGATGACAATCATATTAGATTCATATTAACCCTAGAACTGCAGACAATATAGCTAGGACTCAGTCAAAAAGTCTGTTCAAAAAGGCAGAATTCCAGGTAAGAAAGTCATATATGGCATTTGCCATTACACATATTTAATTTAAATGTCTGTTAACACTAGAACCGCCAACAGCATCAGCACCTACATAGATATCATTTTCAAATCATTTAATTTGTTCCTCTTCATAATTTCCTTATAAACTAAGTAGGACGATTTAAAACTCAGTTAATTGGGTTAATTTAGAAATTGCTTCAGTTTATCATCATAACAGATCAAAAAGTTCAGATTCATTTTACAATAAATCAAGGAATGATGCACTTCTACAAACAAAAACAACATCATTAAAACATTTAAACAAACTACTAAAAGTAGATGAACTACATTATTCAACAGTTTACAGTAACTTCTGATAACACAGGGGAAATAAACGAGGCATCTCTTTTCCTCTCTCTCTCTCCCTCTCCTGACAGCCCGTCAGTATCAGGGTTAGTACAAATGAATCCCTTGGAGGTTCTAGTGTTCATTTACCATTTTGTCTTCTCTTTGTAATGCTTAATCGATTTGAAACCAAGTCTAACGTAGCTTAAACTTAACGTTAGCTTTCTAGCTAACACAACACATTCACGCACCTTTCTCTGTGGGGTTTTTTGTAGTGACGAATGAAGTTGGATGTTGTGGTGGTCGTGTCACTGATCTTTATGCTGCAGACCCTGCCTACCGCTGTTCTCTTCTTATTAGCGTCATCGACAACATAATCCTTGAATCCAAACTTCACTATTTTTGGAGTAAAGCTAGCCGCTGCCATGTTAACTGACACTCCTGCCGTCTCGTGGGTTGCCAGGTTTGCGCGCACGGCGCTATAATCACCCAATCACGTTTTTCAAAAAAACTAAACGTAATATCTCACTACAAAAACAAACGCAAATATTTAATTTGAAACAGTCAAGTCCTTTCAAGTCATCTGTCTCAAGCTTAAGTCAAGTCTCAAGTCATGAATACCAAGTCAAATTCAAGTCAAGTCTTTTATCAATGTTAGTCAAGCAAGTCTCAAGTCAAAAAATATGCGACTCGAGTCTGACTCGAGTCAAGTCATGTGACTCGAGTCCCCACCTCTGGAATGTACTCTTCTTGTCTGTCACATAAGTGGCGCAACTGATGCGATATTGCGCTAAGGGGAAATTATTTTGACCGGAGAGATTTAGATTTGCTGGTCTTCAGCATATTTTACCGGACTATGACCGTTACCGGCTAACAGAAACTCTGAACACCAGATATTTCAGACTATCTGCAATCCCATTAAACAAAACTGGAGCAAGCACACATTTTCATTTAAAGGGGACCTATCATGCAAAATGCACTTTTGTACGTCTTTTATACATGAATATGTGCCCCCGGTGTTCCAGGGAACTCACCAAGTGTCAGAAAACACAACCCTCTCTATTTTCCTCCTTACCCAAATCTCTAAAAAAGGGGCTGCAACGGATCTGATAAAAACTGATCCAGATTTGAACACTGTCCTGACGTCAGGACGGTGGCGCTACGGCTATTGGGCCAACTCCACCAATCAGGAGGAGACAGCCACGGCCATTGCCGTTCGAAAGCGCTGGAGACGCTGTAGTACATATGCCAGGCCTGTAAGTGGCGCTGTAGTCTGCCACAAAAGCAGCGAAGAAGACTTCCCGCCCATAGTTACCATGGTTACCCTTCTGTTTATTCTCCGCTGTGGCTTTTTTTCTCCCTCCCCGAGGCAAGCGTTTGCTCCCGCTGCAATGCAATCCCTCCCCGTCGAGGCAAGCACTGTAATTCTCTCTGGTTAGTCCACCAGCAGATGACAAACACCCACCTCTCCGCCTCTTCCAAGGAACGAGGGGACCGTGCGGCAGAGTTTCAGTTTCAGTTTCTTTCGCCGGTCAAGATGTCCGTTAAAGTTTAAATCTTCCGGACAAAATTAGAAAAGTGCCGGTCAAAGGTCTTCTTTGTTATTTATTGAGCTATAAAACAAATGAATAACGACTCTATATAATAAAACACGGAGGACGGAGATCTTTTTTTCTCCCCCTCTTCTGACAGCCCAGCAGCTGATCAGAGCACGTCTCCCCTCTCCTGCAGGGGGGCGTGGTCAGCAGAATCAGCCCCGTAGACAGCAAACAGCACATAGAGCGAAATGAGGCATGGCTAAAATGCATGATCTGTTTGGTATTTTGAAAACAGAAACGTATAAATATACCTTATATAGGTATGGCCCTACAATATATCATTTAAATATAGCATGATAGGTCCACTTTAAGTAAAGGGGAACAAAATGCGTTGAATTAACTCTCAGAGTAGTGACAGGTGCTTTCTTCTCGTCTTTGCTTGGCGCCGAGTGACTCATAGCAGTTACTTGCTGTTCGAAATCGTTTGCGATCCCACAATGCAGCGCGGTTCACGTAATTTGTTGTGTTATCACAGAGGATGGTCTGAATACAGTATTGTACTATGAAATAATACAGTAACATGTTGTGAAATCCTGGTAATAATTTATCCTGTACATTCACAGTAATTAACTGTGCCTGCATTTCACTGTGAAATTCAAAATTACAGTATTATATTGTCAACATTACAGGTAAAGAATGTAAAGTGGTAAAACAGTAATTTATTGTAAAATATTACAGCTAAATATTGTGAAATCATGGTAATATTTTACAGTGTGGGACAAAAATGTATTAGGAACATATTGTGATATGTCAAAAACTAATGTAATCAGTGACTTCACACCGCTATAATAAACCCTTTCAAATACATAGATTATTAACTTCAGTTCAGTAATATTTGTTTATAAAAAACATTGTCCAGCTGTTTAAGAAAGTTATATACATTCAATGACTATTTGAAATTGAATGAATTGCCTTTTTAGAAACATTCCCTACTAGAACAAAAAACAATAATGTTAAAAACAGACTGACACATTTTAGTTATATGACAATAGGGAAGGAAAAAGGAAAGAAATGTCTCCGAAATAACTGACCTATTTGTATAGACTCCACAGTTGTGTGGATGTATTATGTTGTTCACTGACCAGAGGCCATAGGTCACCCATCGCCTTTTTTCCTGCATCACGGCAAAAAGATCAAGAGTTTCAGGTTTTCTTCATTCCTGCTATTTCACAAACATAAACACACATAAATCCTCTATGAAACCCAGAGCTGTTTATTCCATGTTACCTTGTTTAGCCCACATTGCTTAGAGAGAATCTAACAGCCATCCTGCCATGTGTCCTGCTGTTGGGCACGCTCATTAGTTTAAAATGAGAGCGCACAACTATCATTCAATAGGTTGTGCTGCTGCCTGCCCAGGTGCTAAAGTTACACATGTAAAAGGAAGGCAAATATGATTCCCACAACATGTTTCCTGTCACTATCTGAATTCGGTCAATTTTGTCTGATAACATTTAAAAAGTCTAATCTAGTACAATTGTATCTCTATCCCAGTTAGCATAGGGCTGACAGGGAGCAGCTAGCTCAGCCTGAGGGGGGGTCTGGTTGCCGTTGACATCCTGCAGGTCGTGCAGCAGTGAGATTGCAGAAAAAATATTGAAAACGAATTTTACATACTTGTCAATTTTTTAATCATTCAAATTTGGCAGGTGGTTAATAACACCATTTTCTGTAGTGTTGTAAACGCAGAACACGTATTTATTTTTGCTTCACCCAGAGTTAAATTCAAACTGGGCCCTACCTCTTCTCATGATGGTGCCACAAACCTGCAGGGAGTGTTGAAGCACACACTGATTCATAATTAAAAAGATTAAAAACAAACAATGCCATGTCATTGTTAGATTACAGGATTTATATAGATTGCCAATTGCTGAAATGTGGTAAATGTTTAGTATTGTGTCGTAATGATGTCATCGGCTTCAGTACTTCATTGTATTTAACGCTTCACACATGTTTAACTGTTTAGTCATATATGCAGTATTATTCTTTGTACAGTATTCCTTGATACATGCATGTGGTTCTCTTCTCATGCTCTTCCTCCTCCTCCTCCTCCTCCTCTCTCACAGATGCAGGTGTACATGTACAACTCAGACGACTTTGACAGCCTGAGTGCAGCTCTGAGGGAGCAGAGGATCATCGCTGCCATGGCCGTCTTCTTCCAGGTAGGAACATCCTCCCTCGTGTGTTTTTATAAAAGTATGAAGAAGAGGCAAGTTTGTAGGATTTGGACCCCTGAACATCTGTTTATCATTGATCTGTGTGACATTCTTCTTCTTCTTCTTCTTCTTCTTCTTCTTCTTCTTCTTCTTCTTCTTCTTCTTCTTCTTCTTCTTCTTCTTCCTCTTCCTCTTCCTCTTCCTCTTCCTCTTCCTCTTCCTCCTCCTCCTCCTCCTCCTCGGGGTTTGATGATAGCTGAGTGTGGCTGTAAAACCTGTAGATTAGGATCATAGTCCTGCAGCCAATAAAGTCCTCCCGGGCTGTAGAGTGGAGTGGTGGCTGGACTGGGATCAGCTATATCTCTCTCAGTTGACAGGAATAAGAGTTCATTAGAGGCCATCGATTACCTAAGTGTGCTTTTACTTGGACCATTAAGCCAGTTAATACTTCCCCTCTCACTCCAGTCTCTCCCTCCCTGTCTGGGTCTGTCTCTCCATTCCTTTGCTCTCAGGCCGTGTATACAGTATGTCCAACCCTGTCTCCTACCAAATTACTTTACTATTTCAACACCAAGTAAAGGTTTTTTAAATTGAAGGAATCCTTGAATAAACTGTTAGTGCAATTAATGGCTCACCAACTTTAAATGTTAACACAGAGAGAGAGATCAATAAAACACAAACACAAATATGGTTGAGATTAATTATTATTCAGTTGCGCAAACAACAAAAGATAATGGGGAAACATTTACCTTCTGCCACAGCAGCCAATCGCGGAAATGCCCCCATGAATACAAGAAACAGAGGGCAGATATAGGTTTTCTAAATAACACACGAACATTTTCCCTAACCATGTTTAACTAGCACACGAACATCATGTTCTCCAAATGGACGCACCAACATCAGAGCAACATGTATGTTCCAGATGTCGAAAGGTCATCATCTCATGACGTCTTTAGGAGTCTTGCAGGATATGAATTATCCAATTAACAAACTATATATACGTTTGCACATGAACACATATAATTGTCCTTACATTAACTCAGTGGTTCTCAAAGTGGGGGGCAGAGGCATGCCAGGGGGGGCGCGAGAGACCAGGAGGAAAAATGGTTATTAAAAACCGGTACCGGAGATCGTTGTTGTTAGCTTCTGGTGCTAGCGAGCTACGCTAACGGATATAAGGAGTTTTTTCAACAACAAAGTGGAGGAGAGTCCTCTCCTGTCAGACTGAGAGGCTCAGTGAGCTAAAGGACTCTCTCAGTGTTATCTCAGTGGGTCTCAAACGTTTTGGTCACCATTAATGTAAACAATTATTTCCGAGGCACACGTTTATATGATCATTATAGTTATAAAAAAATAAGAGAATAAATGAAAAACAGGTATGAAATACTATATGACAGTAAAAAAAGAATAAAGTTTTAAAGGTGATTTGTAAAATATCCATAAAGAAAAAGTAAATCTGTTTACAGTTCTGTTTCATATGGGTGTTGAGAGAGGTATCCATAGATCTCTTAATGTTGCTCTCAAAGTGCACCAGATTGATGCATTTAACTTCAATATTTAAAAATAAATCTTCCCGGGGGACCATGCCCCCGGACCCCCCTATGTGAGGTCCACACACCACCTATAAAAATAGCACTTTACCCCTGCTAACACCTATATGCGGTGAGCTGATTATCGAGCCTTCATTGTAACAGTCGCGGGTACACTGTGTATTTGCGTGGGGATTGTTGCAGTAGAACATTCCACTATAGCGCTCGGTACATTAATGGGAAACCCTAAATGTTTGAGCACCCTTGGAGTTGATCAAATCACATTGTCATGTCAAAGGCCCAGTGAGCAGACCCAAGTGAACAAATACAAAATCTTTGGCTTCCGCTATGTGTCACATCACAGCGTAATTAAGGATTTGTGTGCAGAATATCATCTTGAGAGAGATTTGATTGGATATCAGAAAACTAGGTGTGGCTTGCTCATCATCAGTCCCTGGAGGAACCATATTATCTGCGTTGTTGAATCAGGGGAATGGGACAACCAAACTTAAAATACAAAAGTCGTTTTTCCAAGGGTTATCCAAAGATAGACCCCAGACCAGAGTCCTGCACGGGTCTGATTTTCAAGACCCGCTCCCGCCCCACACCCGCGACGTGCAATACCGAACCCGCCCCGCTACCCGCACATATTGCCAATTAGTTCCGCAAACCGACCCGACCCGTCGGCACAAGATCCGCAAACCGACCCGAACCCGTATATCCTAGGAGCACTGAAAACATGCAATTATTAACACACGCAGTTGCGTATTTGGCTCAAAAAGCGTGGGATGTTGGTTATGTTCTCCATCTAGGATGACACCAAAAGCCTCCCAGACGTTGGATTTCGCTCTTGAGGAAGAGTTATTGACAATGCTGTATTCTCCGAGCTTCGCCTTCACCTCAGCCACTTTGAATGTGGCGCGCTCAGCAGCAGTTTGATGCGGTGCAGAGGTTATGATTATGCGCGGTCCCGCGGGGGAGAGGTCTGAGGATTTAAACATTAAATACAATTATTATTATTTGTAATTATATTAATATTAATATTATGCAACACCTGCGACCCAACCCGCATCTTCTTTGTTTTACCCAGAACCGAACCCGGAAAAAAATGTTTGAAAAAATACCACCCGCGAATCACTTTTTTTGCGGGTCACCCGTCGGGTACCCGCGATTTAATGTTCGAAATTATGTTTACATTTACAGGAATATAAAAGATATGCATTTTGCATTTTACAAATAGTTTTCTGACATTATAGTATACATTTAACCAGAGATCAATACAAACAATAAGAACCATGCAATATTTCTCCAAAGGACGTTATATTGCCAAATAAATGGGTAAGCAGTTAGAAAGGATATGCATTAGCAGTTATGACAGAAAGAAATAGAAATTGCCTACAGGAGGAGCGGGATGACATGGCAGACAGAGCCTACTTTATTTTGAAAAGCAGCCAAAAATGCTTCCTTTACTGATAAACCCCGCTGTAGCCAGCACCAGAGTCCTTCTATCTTCTGCTTTAGTTCTCCTTCCCACCACCTCCCTTCTGATTTGAGATATGGCAGTATGCACACATTTCCTCTGTACCTGATGATATTGTGCAGTTGCAGCTCGCACACCACAAAGATTGATTTGAACCCGTGCCCTCAATAACTTGGCTCTCCGGATAGATCCCGCCGGTTTGTGATAGTGTGTTTGCTCCTATGCAGAGATAAGTGTGTGTGGGCTCCGGCTTCAGACGTGCATTTTTCTTTTTTCATCAGGAGCCAGTCGCTCTCCTGCCCTGCTCACATGCTTCAGTTTGTCTTTGATGACCTGACGAGAACCTCACGCTGTGTGTGTGTGTGTGTGTGTGTGTGTGTGTGTGTGTGTGTGTGTGTGTGTGTGTGTGTGTGTGTGTGTGTGTGTGTGTGTGTGTGTGTGTGTGAAAAAAGTAGGCACGTCCAACAGATTTCCATGTTTTGAAAGATAAAACACAGATAATATAATGCATGTCAAATTCAAATCCCTGTTGGGGAACATTTTTTGTTGTTTATTTATTCATTTATTTGTACTTCTGCTCCATACATATAAAAGGGAAATTATGTAATTGTACTCCATTACTTTTATTAAACAGCTTCTTTAAACAGAATATCTCAAAGAATCTAACTTGAATTACTCATAAAAGAGTCAAATTATTTTAATATTTTACAAAAAGTAAATCAGAACTTCTTTTGTCAACAGTACTACTTGATGCAACAATATTATCTAGAAATGTCACATATATAATTATATACACGTTAAAAGTAATTTTTTCTGCAAAATTATGACTTTTACTTTTCAATTACATTTTGAATGTTCAGGAATGTTACTTGTAATGAAGTGTTCTGACAATAATGTATTGTTACTGTTACAAAGGTAAAGCCTCTGAGAAGTGGGACGCACTCTGTCTATGTGCTCCCACTGTGTGCTCATATAGGCTCAAAGTCAAACAACCTGACCGAGAAATAACAATCAGAGTCCCTTGTATAGATATAAGGCCCAGAGTGCTACTTGCCGTTTATTTAAAGTCATTCTCTGTGATATCATTGGTTCTTTCAGTCTGTTGCACATGCTGTTGCTAATCAATTGAATGTATAGGGTTTATGCACAAACGTAATAAAATACTTTGATTTGTCACGTATGCACGCTTTTTTCCTCCCCGTCCGTGAGTTTCCGCAGCGACTGCACTGCTGCTCCTGTGCCATGTATTAATTAAATCATCACACTCGACTTACAGGACAAATTGGGCCCATCATCTGGGCCAGGCAGGGGCATCACGCTTTATGACCCAGAATTCCATTGCACTGCAGCCTCTGATTGAAATAGATGGCAGTTGTAAAAGGCTATCATTGCCCTTTTATCTGCTTATTTACTGTTTTCCACACTGAGCTAGAGGCAGCAACATGCACCACTGAGGCCCAGCTGGGATGTAAATTACATGGAGAATCCATTTTATTATTTTTTGCTCCTTGTTGCGCAAGTGAACATGAGGATCCCGCTGAGTCTTATTTCACATTTGGGCATCCGGGCTTTATTCATTATTATAGTAAAGTGAGAGGCTGAAGAAGGGGGAGAAGTAAGATACAGAACAAAGAGAATGAAGGAAAGCTCGACTTAAACTCCACATTGACTCACGATGCTTACTGAGTGTGTGAGACAAAGACAACGGAGGAGGATGAGACCTCTAAAGAGCTTCCATTACAGCTTCTTCCTGAAGACATTGATTGATATCATGGACAGAAGGGCTGAAACATGTGAATCAGTGATTTTTAAAATAACTATTGATCACTATGTAAGCACTATCCATGCAGGAAGGCAATGTTAAGAGCAATATCTGCACAGCCACACTGAAATGTCCTGTCGGAGAGGGCGGGACACCAGTGGTTGAAAGTAACTGAGACCCCATTTACACAGGAACGTTTGCGTTTTCAAAAAAGTCTTCCGTTCACACGCATTCG